TGAGGTTCTGAAATTCCATTTTTGCAAGTAAAGCAAGGGAAAAGATTCAATATTACCCATTAGCCTTCGTTACATCTTGTTTTAGTTCTATGGTCGCCTATACTCATAATCCTTGCCAGATAATGTACACATATTTCTCTCTAAAACCAAATGTTTCAGTAAACTGTGTAGCTTCAATGGATTTTCCAATTTCCTTAAGTGGGTTTTCCAGTAGATGACAGATAAAAATTTCTCTGAATTCTCTTTTGCTGCCTTGCCCTTCTGTGACACCGGTGACTGCTGTGCATCACAAAGCCATGCGGCAGAAGTCGTGGCTCCTGTCACTGACTGACAGGGCCTACCACTTCTGCTGGTAAGCAAGTCACATCTCCAAGCCAGCCTGGACAGATATCTGTGGGCTCCATTTCGGAACAGACTTGATGCCTCCTTGTTTGAGATCAGAGTTTCTTACCTCTTCGAGTCAGAGACCTGCCTAACAAAACATGGTGGCGGGACTAGCTCCCGATTTTGTCCAGGAGGTGCAGCAAGTCTCTTAATGCCCTTCTTTAAATGTGGATAAACTGTATTTATGCTGCAGAGTGGTTCATTCACAAGTGGAATGTATGGATTCAAAAATCTGTTTGTACCTGAGGAAATAGTTGCCCTTCATGCTTCTCCCTGTCTCTGTGTGGACAGCCAAGTATTACGAGTATTTTAGAACCTCACTGTGAAGAGGATTGGGGGATTTCCAAGAATACTGTTTATAGTTTGTTTAAGGTTATCAATTGTGTGTCAAATAAAAAGCTCACTGCAGATGATCATGGTGCAGTACTTTGAAGTCATTTAACTCAACATTATTTACAGAATATTTATCTTGGTTATGGCAGTTTTTGTCGTGCAGCGATATTACTTCTCCATTATATACTGCATGTGACCGCCATATAGGTTTGATAATAAATGTTGGGAAATAAAAAAACAGAGTAAGTGCCTCAGTATGATAGCAATTCCCATGCGATGGGAAATAATGTCATAAACTTCAAATTACCTTTTAAATAAATGTTTATGTCCAACCCATCCATTAGATCATAGCCTGAAGGTCAGGAGGATCGTTTCTTCATCTTTCACTGTATGCATTATGGTTGCTTTTTTAGGTGTAAATGATGTTTTTAAATGAAGAATAGCACTCAAACTATACACAAACAATGGCTAGACATTACTGAGTCTCAGCATGGCAGAAATAGCCTCAGCCACTCTGCTAAATATAGAAATGCAGCAGTAAATTGAATTCATTCTTAGAAAATATTTTTAATGGCTGAGACAATACAGAAATACAGTTTGTGTCATTCTCACAGTATGAAGCTTTGACATTTTAGTCAAGTTTGAATTCTAGTTGTGGTTTGGTAAATGGCTGATTTGCAAAATGCTTGTGAGAGTAAAAATTTTGGAGAGGAAGGCAGAGCATACCTGAGCATGCAGAGAAGTGCACAGGTAACAGATATTGTATTTATGAGAGTCTGTACCGTGCTTTGTGCTTTTGTGAAGAGGTGCCAGCTCAGTAAGTGCCATGGGATAGTGTGAAACATCCCACACTGTGAGACCCTATTATTACCAATGCCTTTTGGAGGAAGTGAGTGCTGATGACCCATCTCAAGGCGAAATTCCTCATAAAGACATTTCCCTGCTTTGAGCTGGATGTCCCTTGCCCATATGTCCTGGAGGAGCCCATATGGCTCCCCAAAGCACCCCATGAATCAAAATTTAACCTGTGGTGGTCTTGAACATGTTATCCCTGCAGTGCCAGGCTAGAAACCCAAGTGGGATCTGGACTGGCTGGGCTAGCAGAGAGGTGGCTTTGGAGAAGCAAAAGCTGTAGCTGTGCTGGGGTGGCTGATGTGTGCATGGATATGGGGCAGGTTCCTCAGCCAGGACTGGGCTGGCTGGGAGAGGGGGAAGGAAGAGCTGTCGAGGGCTGTCAGATTGATCTGGAAATAAATTCAATCCAAGAAGTTCTGTTTACAGTCAGGGGAAAACCCATTGTCATGGAGATTTAAAATTCCAATCAAGAAATTCAGGGGTGTTTTTCTTCAGCTATGATTTGACCTTCCTGTTTACATTAAGCATTTTTACGGCAGAGTGCAGTGATGTGGTTGCTTTGTTTGAGGTATTTGACAGTTACAGCAGTTCTGAGAATTATTGTTTTGGTTCTATATATGTCAGGAAAGAAATATGTTAATATTTGAGATAAGGTACATTTTTTAAAACGTATTTGAATGTGTTATGATTCTCAACTTCACCTTCTTCCACGAGGACCATGAACATATTAAAGTTCATTTTAAAACAACATTTCTTAGTAACATATTAAATACTTTATGTCCAAAAAGATCTTTTGGTTAGAAGTTAATCTGTTCCAGAACCAATTGTCTATAATATTGTTTCTTTTGTCATTATAATTCATGTAAAAATGGTACATTAATTTCGTAGAGATCACTTGATCTCAATTCTTTTTTGTTAGCAGAGGTCTATAATCCTTTCCACAGCAACCACTTGTAAAAGCAGAGGATTATGACTTGAGGCAGGATATGAACAGCAGGAACAGATCAACTTAAAAACAAAGATCCTGTTTGAGTACAAATGCTATTGTTAGCACAGAGCTGGGGTGAGTCAAGTGGCAGGATGTCTATTAGAATATGATAAATTCATATCAATGCCACATGGCATGCTAGCCAGAAGACAGATCCTTCTAGCAGTTTTGTGACAGACTTCTTTTTTTTATACCTTTACTTATTATACATTTGCTTAGTCCAATAAAGCATTCCCTCTAGGAATGGCTGATGTATAAACATCTGAGCAGCTTTTTGGTGTTTTTGTAGATTTATTTTTCTGTCTAAAAAGCTTCGGCTCTGTTATACTTTTTCCCAAAATCTGCTAAAAGCAGGGATTTGAAATTACACTACTGCAGATTCTGAAGTTAGTAATAGACATTGAGTACTATTGCTATCCTTTCTTATAAAGTGTGTGATCCTCCAGAGAAAAGGAGAAAAAGAGGATTTTTCTTTGTTCCTATATTTAAAAATAAGACACAATGACATTTTTTCCTTTATGAAAAAGTCTTGGGTTTAATACCAATAGTTTAACTGACCTATCTTACAGCAATATATGTGACTCAATTCAACATATTTTTGAAGTATAATTTATTTTTCTAATATTTTTCATGTTAAAGTTACTAGGAAGCTACAAAGGTACCAACTGACAGAACATATACTACTCAAGTGTGGAAAACCCCTACTTTTGGTAAAAATTAGAAAATTTTTTAATGGCCTAGACAAAATGATAAATATACAAAAATGCAGTAATGGAGTCAGGCAGCAGTTTCACTTGTGACAGTCTTCTGTACAGTTATTCCAACAACTGACACCACATAGAATTAGTAATCTCTTCTTCCCAAGCTTCTGTTGACTGTATTTTTGTAATAGACAGTGAAACATAGTCCTGTTTACAAATGATACTAATATAATGTCAATTTATCTTAATTTGTACATGCATGCATACATGTATGTATCTATGTATATACATACTGTATTAAATACCATCATGTAGAAAAGTTCACATAAGCATCTCTAATGGCAGGTAAGACAGAAGTTTTGGTAGAAAAGAATGTTTGAAGGGGTGTTTAATCATTGTCTTGTGGTGACAGGAGGAGACTCAATGCAATGGTTTCAGGGAGTTTGTTTGACTGCTTGCTGCTGCATGGATTAGGATCCCCCTTCAGTGTCCTGGAGTTTGCAAGGTTAAGAAATGCCCCAAACATAGTCTTAAGTGATATTTTGAACTGTCTGAAAAGACTTTATTGCTGTTGATAAATAATGGCTTTCAGATCATCCTGCTGGCACTTGGGCTGCAACTAAAATATCAATGAATAAGAAAACAGAAGCCGTGGCATTCCAATGGTATGAATTTTTCAGCCTGTATTTTGTTAGCCTGAGGCAAAAGATTGAGCTCTTAGTACTCATCTGTGCAGAATGAGTAATGTGAGACAAATGTGTACCCACACTGTGTGTGCAATGTGGCCACATCCTATAGACTTGCCACGCAGCCAAGGACCCCTCATGGACAATAGTCATATGTTAAAAATGATCATTTTATTACAATATCTGTGATCTCACCACCACAGCTGATTCTAACAGCATTACAATATGACAGTGTGACTGTGGGTCTGCTCATCCTGTAAGAATCAGAATTTTATACTATCAGGAGTTGGTTTTACCAGCAGGATTTTCTGTTACCTGACCAGAATTCTGTATATTTGCACAAATTCTATGCATGAGAGCAACTGAAAATACGTATTCCGAGCGCTGTCTGTTTTGGTGTTTCAACATGACTTGCATTAGTGTGTGTGATAGCTTGAATTTTCTTTCTTCACCAAAGCTGCTTAAACAATGCAATGACAGATTTCTGCTTTTATTCTTCATTAATGTCATTCTTCATCCTCTCTGCCCCACATCAGGGAGGAAGTGTTGCGAGTTTGCTATTTTAATGAAGAGAAATGAGGCATCTATCAACTAGGATTTACATTGGAGAGCACATCAATTCAGTTGCCTTGAGCTTGCTGAGTTTGCACATCCAGGGCCAAGCAGTGCTCTCAATTACTCCCGTGCAACCCCATTAACTTCAGGAGGTTGTGTGGTTCAAAAGTGGCTTTGCAGAATGTGGGGGAGAAAAACATATATATCTGCTAGAGGAGTCAAGCTCCAAAATGTGATTTTTGGTTATCTATATTGAGATATGCGTGCAGTCATAATTGCACTTTTGAAAGGTTAGGGTAGTCATCGTGTAGTAATTTCATTGAGCATCCCTTTGTAGCTGTGCTTAACAGAACAGACAGCCACCCAAAAATTACTGCAGTGAGGGGGAAAACACTTCCAGCCCTGGAAACATATTGTAAATCATATGTCTTTAGTAGGCTCTATCCTGTAATTACTCTTAACCGTGGCTTGTTTCCTCCTCTCTCTCTCTCTCTCCAGGAGCTATGCCGGCAGCGCATGGCAGTGAAGAGCTCTGACCGCCCGGAGCCCCTGCACTCCTCCCGCATCAACAGCGTTTCCTCCCAGTTCAGCGATGGGCCCATCCCCAGCCCCTCGGCCCGGAGCAGCACCTCGTCCTGGTGTGAGGAGCCGGTCCAGTCCAACATGGACATCTCCACCGGTCACATGATCCTGGTAAGGCACTTCTGAAGTCGTGGCACGAGCGATTGCGACAGAATTTTAGGCATCTGCTCAGCTTTTGGAAAGAGAGAGCTTTAAATGACAGGGAAGATGTGTTTTCACAGGTGGAAAATATTCCTGAGCTTCATGGTAATCTTAACTTTGTATGATTAAAACAGGCATTTTTATTTCCTTTTTTTTTTATTATATCTTTCTTTTTTTTTCTCTTGGGAACACTCTTTTAACATGAACATATTAATTGTTTGCATGCTTGCTTTTAAAAAAAAAAAAGCCCTGTGGTGTTCTCTTGTCCTATTAATTTATGTTTAGCTCAGCTTGGACAGCTGAAGAAAGCTGCCAAATTTCTGATCAGCTCGCTGCTTTTTCTCATGTGTCTTCAGTGTGTGGAGGTATCTGAGCTGAGAAGGCAACAGAAGATTAGTGATATGGAGCAATTTATTTCTGTCACCCTTAGAAAAAGGATCTGCATTTTGAGCCTTTTTGGGTTTTGTCCTTGGATGAATTTCTTCCAAGCTGGATTTCTTGTGTTTGAAATTATCCAAATATATTCTGTTGGTGGAATCTATGTTGGAAATCTTGGGTTACTACCAAGCACAGCTTGAGACCAGTATCAGTGTAGAAGATGGACACATGAAGAGTTTTTTGTGTGTAAGAGTCAGAGTCCAGTAGTTGGGACTGGTGGAACTTGTTTCTGTCCTGCTGGGAGAGCTGTAGAGTAATCCTCCATTTTTTGTGTCTTATTTTCATCTTTCTTTAAATATTTACTGTCTCTCTAGAGTGCATTGACATTAGCTAAGTAGAAGTTAGGTTGTGGTGAAGAACTGACCAAAAGTTGTGTTATTTTGCTTGTATATTCTGTTTTTACCTAAAGTAAGCATCCTTTCCAGTTGATAGTTTGCCATGTTTTTGCAAACTTCTCTCCCTCATGTCATACTTTTGGGTCATAATTTTTAAACTTCTTTCTTTTTCTGTACTTATATTTGAAAGTACTATCTTCTGATGTATTTTTCAAGTTCTTACAAGCCAACCTCACATAATGGAGAAAGGAATGAAGGCAGGCAAAACCCAAAAACCTAATTTGACCTCAGCCAAGTTACTGACCTCCTTCAGCCTTGATTGAGTCAGCTATAAAACTGAGCAAAAGCAGGGCGGGATTTTAAACGAGGTGCTGCCTCAGAGTTTATCATCCTGAGTAAATACATCACTGCCATCCCCCTCCAAAAGTAATTAATTAATTATTATGTTAATATCGGGTGGACAAGTGCAGTTTGAAAGGGTTGTTCCCATGACAGAAAACCATTTGTTACAGTTTTGACTGTTCCACTATTGGCTAACCATAATTAAAATTCACTTGATTTCTTTTCATAGTTAAGTAAAATACTTGGGGGCTGGGGGGGAGGATTGGAAACCCCAAACATTTCCAGTTGCCCAATCTCAAAATAAATACAAATTCTGAGGCAAAAAAGGTTCAAAAATATCTAGGCAATATATTTGTATGGAAATAGGAGAAAGATTTCCTATGTAGATGGAAATACTAATTTAACATTTGCAAACAGTTTCAACTGCTTCAAATTGAGCAAAATCATTTTCAGTAATATTATTGGGAAACATGAAAAATCATCTCAAAATCATGCTTAAAGGAGAGAAAGTTGCTTAGGGGTACCACTTATTCTGTCTCTGCAAATTTCTGCAAAATTGCAAGAAAGGATTGTCTTCATATGGCAGTAAATAAACTTTAAAAAGTAGTCAGATTGGTCAAGATCACTGTTATGGTGTTCAGTGTCCATAATTCAGTCAATCCTGTTTAACCCTGGATGAACTCATACATGTGTTAACTATCTAACAGCAGATGTTACATCTTAGATGGTGAGGGTTCAAAGAAGGGTAAAAAAATGCTGTAGGATTTTGAGAGTGCAAGCCACACAGAGAGAGGAAAAACAGTTAATTTGTTAAGTCTAACCTGAGCAAACAAAAATCAGTGATTCAGGGGAGTCTGCCTACGTGCTGTGACATACAGGATGGGGAAAAATTGTTCTTAATGGACTCAGATGATACAATTAGGAAGAAAATATGTGTTAGCATCAAAATATGCATTTAGCTTTGCTATCAGGGCAAGCCTAATAGGAGGGTCAGGCAGGCAGTGGGATGTTTACTTAAGGAAGCAGTTAAACCATAAATACAAGACTTGCCGAAGGCGAAGCTGGGTTAGGATTACATGGAAGGATCAGCATCCCTCAGCTCCAGCACAGAGGCAGATGATTGGGCTTGATCAGAAATGTTCATGTTCTGTGTCACTGTGGGTCACAATGAAACTGGAGAGCTGACCCAGTTTATGTTCAGCTCAAAAATAAATGCACATCTCTGTAATACCTTATTTACCTGAATTTCTCTCCTTCTGGGGATGCTGTGGCTTGTTGGACCTCAGCAACAGAAGCAGCTCACCAAAGGTGAACTCTTCCTCTCTTTGCCTTGCAGATACAAGTGGAGGAAAGTGAGGAGATACTTTGCAACTTTTATACCATTCAGTAAAAGACATTTTTCAGTTCTTCTAATTTCCCTCTGCCACAATCCTCTTCCTTTTAAATTTCGTAGATATTTCCTTTGAAAAATATCTCAGTGCCCAAAAAGTCATGAGAAATACTAGCAAGGGGCCTAGTGAGAATGGCAAATACCCTCTGCTTTGCAGAATAAATGCACTTATAAGTCTGTAAATGTGTTTTTGAGCTCCACAATGTGCAGTGAAGGAGTAGTTAGCTGAGCTAAGGCTCCTCAGTACTTATTGCTCATAGGTGCCAGGATCTCCCTAGAGAAAATAAAACAATGGATTACTGTGTAAAGTGGCAGCAGGAAATAATTTTTTTTTATTCATAAACAGAATAAAACTTTAATGAAAATAGCTTAGAAGTGTGTGACTGCTGAATGACTCCATGTAATCTTATTCAGAGGTAGCATTGGCCAGAAATATTTCTGTAAAGCTGTTGAATTTGCTGGAAAATGCTATCAGTCATGCCTGCAGTCATATCTAAGTCATCTCAGCTGAGGGTCTGTTGGAGCTTGGGTTGGCCACATGTACTGTTTTCTTGGAGGACTTTCCACTTGTTAGCCCATTGTTTATAGTGCTCGAGGCGTGCAGAAACCAGGAATCTTCCAAGCCCTGTGGCTGTGGGGCAGTCTCCTCACTTAGACTGAAACCAGCCTTCAAAGGGAAAAATCATGCATTCCTGCCACTTCCCTGTGCAGCAAGGCAATGCCTCTGCACTGCTGCCAGCAGCGTGAGGTGGTTTGAGCTGTTGGCAGGAGGAAGCAGGGAGGGCTCAGGAGGCCCAGAAGGACAGTGATAACAACATTCAGAGGTTTTTTTTTTTCCTTTTCACTGTCTTTTTCATCACATTTCTAACAGGAGGGTGGCGCATATGGCACATTTTGATTCTGTCTTTCTAAAAAATCCAAGCACTTTGGGAAGTGTAATTAGAGGAGCATGTTTAATGCAGTCATGTTTGTGGCACTGACTGGCTGGTTTCAGCATGAGCAACAACTGAGGATGTGTACCCTCGTTTTGGTCACCACTGGTTTTGGAAGGAAACATCATTCAGAAGGTCACAACAAGGGAAAGAATAGGACCTTAAATTTCCACCCACTTTATTCTCATGCGTATGTCTATATTGCAGCGGACAAGAGAAGTTCTAATAAAGGACAACAATTCCTATTGCAGTCCAGCAAGAAAACCAGAGGGGGTTTAAAAGTGATCAGGAGAGATTTAGTCTCCCTACCTTGTGCTCCTATATTTTAGGCATTTAATGAACTGTTGGTGTTGACTTGAGTCCATCAATTCCCCCTCTAGTTGATGAAGGGAGTAGGTGCCTCTGAAGGTCTCCAGAGAATTAGGCAGAGAGTGCATTTCTCTTGAGATGCCTCCTTTGTGCCTGCACAATCCAGTTGATGTTTGCAGTTTACATGAAGGAGTCTCTTTTGTTTGTGCTGTAGCACAAGCTCAGCACCAAGATGGATTGGATCCTGCACCTGCTTCATGTATAACCATGCTTTTTTGGTTAAAACAATTGTAATATTTTATGATGTTTTACATGAAGAAGAGTACTGCAAGAAGGGAATGCGTGCTTTTGGTAATAACATTCTGAGGTTGTTATGTGAATACCATATAAGAGAGGGTATTTGCAGAAGCAGAAGTGATTTTCTGTGTTTTGCAGGGTTTTCCTTGTAAAGACAGATGTGCAAAATTTAGAGCATTACACATAAATTAGAATTTCAGAAAGTGTGAATTTACAAGAGGTCTTTTTCAGTATTTTTTGTAAGCTGAAGTCATAGACGTCCTCTCCCAGAGGGTATGAAACTGCTTTATGTATTGGAAGTAATAATAATATGTGATTGTTTGTGATGATGTACTTTTCAGAAGGAGAAGAAAGTTTCATACTTGGGCTGAATGAGGTGATGGGAACAGATGAACTAGAGCCTGAAATCTATGGCCTTTTATCTAAGAGATATGTCTGCGTAATTCCCTTGTCTTTGGCAATATGCCTGTAAAACTAGGAGGACATTCACCACAGACGAGTGAAGGATGGCCTCATGTGAGAACTTTCTGTCCAAGTCCTGGGACAGGTTGTGTCCCAGAAGGTGACACAACCTTCGTTTGGGATATGGGGTGGGGGCCTGGGGCTGCTAAAATGGGCAAACCCCAAGTGCTGAATTTTGCATCCACTTTAGTTTTGATGCTGAATCACTGACAGGATTGCTGTGGGACTGGGAAGGATAACAGGGAGAGAACAGTTTCCAAGATTGAACCTGGGGGTTTTTGATTGTATTGGTATCCTGTACTCTGAATAGTAACTTTTTGATGGTTTCTTAGCAATTTCCCCCTCACTATAATTTTTTTTGAAGTGAATTCTTTTTTAAATAAGCTCTATAGGGTAGCAGCTATAGATTCTTTTTAATTGAATATGAAAGAATGTAGAACTGAGTGACTAAAGACACATTACAAC